GTTTTTTATAACTGAGTTCTCGAGACATGAAAGTAAATTTCACTATAGTCGGTCTCTATCTGACAACGCTGTTGCATCTTTTAAATCAACTGTTCCATCTTTACTGTCCTCAGTATCTCAGAGGAACATAGCAGAGGGCAATATTTTCATTTCTAGACCCTCACAAATTGATGCTTTAGTTCATCATGTTACTTCCTCTTTACGTGTGGCATTAGATGATGTTGCCCCTTTAAAAAAGAAGGTAATTAGGGACAGGAAGTTGGCTCCCTGGTTTAATTCTCATTTACAAGCTTTAAAACAAAACTCTAGAAAATTGGAGAGAACATGGCGCTCTACGCACCATGAGGAGTCCTACTTATCCTGGAAAAATAGTCTTGTGCTTTATAAAAATAGGCTTCGACAAACTAGAACTGCTTATTTCTCAGCGTTAATTGAGGAGAATAAGAATAATCCTAAATTTCTTTTCAGTACAGTTGCCAAACTTACACAGAATCATAGCTCTGAACCATCTATTTCCTTAGCCCTCAGCAGTAACGACTTTATGGGATTTTTCACAAGTAAAATTAATTCTATTAGAAGCTAAATCTTTAGCATCCTCCCTAATGCAATTTATTCTTCCGCAGTAAGTGAGGCAGCATCAGAGGTAACTGTAGAACCTCATCTGTGTTTGAACTGTTTTGATCCAGTTGAGCTTTCAGAGTAATTAAAAATATTAGCTTCATCTAAACTTTCAACTTGCATTTTAGATCCAATCCCAAACAAATTATTTAAAGAAGCATTTCCTTTGGTCACTGCCCCCATTCTAGATATAATCAATCTATCCTTAGTAAATGGATATGTACCACAGGATTTTAAGGTTGCTGTAATCAAACCTTCACTTAAGAAGCCTTCTCTGGATCCAGATGACCCAATGAATTATAGACCAATATCTAACCTTCCATTTTTATCCAAAAATCTGGAGAAAATAGTGGCCATCCAAGTATGTGAGCATTTAAACACTAATGATCTGTTTGAAGAATTTCAGTCTGGTTTTAGAGTATCACAGCACTGAAACTGCATTAGTGAGAGTTACAAATGATATTCTCATGGCCTCAGATAAGAATCTTGTGTCTGTTCTAGTCTTGTAAGATCTCAGTGCTGCCTTTGACACAATAGATCACAATGTTCTTGTAGAAAGACTTGAACATGTCGTAGGGATCAAAAGAACAGCGCTAGGCTGGTTTAAATCCTATCTGTCTGATAGATTTCATCTTGTAATTGTACATGACAAATCTTCTTCATACTCCAGGGTTACTTGTGGAGTACCACAGGGTTCAGTGCTTGGCCCAATTGTTTTTACTATATATGCTCCCAGTTGGTAAAATCATTAGACAGCATGGGATAAACTTTCACTGTTATGCTGATGATACTCAGTTATATTTATCCATTAACCCTGATGAACCTAATCGGTTAGGTAGATTACAGGCTTGTCTTGAGGACATAAACAATTGGATGACTCTAAACTTTTTGCTTTTAAATCAAGACAAGATGGAAGTTCTCATCTTTGGACCAGAAATCCAGAAAAGGAAGTTGCTTAGTCAATCACCTGACCTGAACGGCATTACATTAATCTCCAAGAACAAGTAAGTAGGGCTGTCGCGGTAACCGCAAAAATGAAATATCGCAATATGAAGAAGCCCACCGCGCTGCATCATGGGCCACCGCGATTACTGAACTTGGTTCAACTCAATGATGCATGTTGAGAAGGATGGCTGCACTGGTATCAAAACGAAACGTTACTTCGCTCCTTTGGGAGCACTTTGGTTTTCAGTACGTCAGCTGCTGCGCAGCCAGAGTCCTTGGCCGAGACAGAGCTGCCACCAGCCGCAAAAATAAATAAATAAATAAATGCTCGGAGACCTGCTGAAGTCCCGGACAAGCACTGCTTCTGCAACCGTCCCGAAGAGAGTTTGAGCCGAGCTGGAGCTCACTCGCTACCTGCAGGAGGAATGCAGGTACCGAGCGAGTCTTTCGACCCTAAAGAAACCCCCGGACATGGTGGAGCAACAGCCGGGAGAGATTCCCTTTGCTCGCCAGTCGTACGAAGGTACGTGTGCGTTAGTGCAACGAGCGCACCATCCGAGAGGGTTTTCAGTGTTGCATGAAATGTTGCCACCCCTCTCAGATCCTCTCTCAAACCGTATATAGTTATCATGCTGGTTTTCCTTGTGGGTAACAAGGACGTGACCGAGCTATAAATCACCGTCATTCGTGTGTGTGAAAGTGAAATGATAGTGCGCCCGCCCCCCGGCACGCACGCGCCCGGTACATGTAATTTTTTATGCTTGATTTTAAACAACTAAACAAAATGGGGACTTGTTTCTTATTTGTTAGATGCTGCAGCCAAATTTGCATTTAAAAGTTTGACCTCCTGAATTTTGTTGTTTTTAAGTTCAGTCGGACTCTGACTGTCGGAGAAACAAACGTTACTGCGGTTGTTACTGCCCTTTGATCTGCATTCAGTAAAGTGTTATTAAAGAAGGCACGGCAATTTTTAACCTTTTTTAAATGTGTAAACATTATGTTTAGATAGTACTGCAATAAAAAAGGGCTGCAATAATATCGCACACCGCAATATTGAGCCACCCTGAATCACCGCAGGGGGAATTCCTCAACCGCGACAGCCCTACAAGTAAGGAACCTTGGTGTTATCTTTGACCAGGACATGTCATTCAAATCCCACGTTAAACAGGTTTGTAGGATTTCCTTTTTCCACCTTTGGAATATTGCTAAGATTAGAAGCATCCTTTCCAGGAGTGATGCTGAAAAACTAGTTCATGCATTTATTACATCAAGACTGGATTACTGTAATTCTTTACTCTCAGGAAGTCCACAGAATGTAGTTAAAAGTCTTCAGCTTGTCCACAATGCTGCAGCTAGAGTTCTGATGAGAATGACAAAGATAGATCATGTCTCTCCTGTCTTAGCTTCCCTACATTGGCTACCTGTTAAATTCAAAATAGATTTTAAGATCCTCCTTCTCACATATAAAGCTCTTAATAATCAAGCTCCATCATACATTAGTGATCTGATTGTTCCATACGTTCCTAACAAAGCATTTCGCTCTCGGACTGCAGGTTTACTGGTGGTTCCCAGAATATCTAAAATTAGGATGGGAGGCAGATCTTTTAGTTATCAGGCTCCTCTCCTGTGGAACCAGTTCCCAGCCTTAGTCCGTGAGGCAGACATCTTGTCTACTTTTAAGACTAGGCTTAAAACATTTTTATTTGATAGGGCCAATGGTTAAAATCTGATGTTAGCCTAGATCTGGACAAGTGGGGGTGTAGAGGGAGGTGGAGTGTACAGTTGGTAAAGACGGCTCTCCCTTGCCCTGTCTCCAACATGCCTCCATCTAAAAAGGCTAGGTTATCCAGAGTTATCTCTGTAGTTATGCTGCTATAGGCTTAGACTGCTGGAAGATACACTGACCACTTTTCACACTCTTACTACTTTCTTCTACAATCTGCTCTTTAACTGTATAATTTCCTGCTATTTCAGCTGTTAACTTAATTTTTTCTCTAAGTGTTTTTCTCCCCAGAAGAAGCTACAATGATGTTCTGCTGAGCTGTGGTGGCCTCATGGAGGGGGACATCGTCTAGCACACTGCTGCTAACCACTTAAACATTCTCCCTCTCCTGATAATAACTTTTTGTTTCCTTGACATTGAATGTGCTACTGCTAGTTTTCCCGTTTAATTATAGATTCACTAGGATAAATACAATAAAGTTTATCTCTCGCCAAATAGAATATTTACTAAGAAATCACAATGTAACCAAAGACACATGGCCTGGTGTGTGTGTGTGTGTGTGTGTGTGTGTGTGTGTGTGTGTGTGTGTGCGCGTGTGCGTGTGCTCTGTCTTCTCGATCCCCAGTGAGTCGTAGTGGATGGCTGCTTATACTGAGCCAGGATCCTCTGGAGGTTTCTTCCTGTTAAAAGGGAGTTTTCCTCTCCAATGTCACTATATGCTTGCTTAGTATGATGATTGCTGTAAAGTCACTGACACTAGTCAGTGACTTGATTCAATTTGCTGGGTTCCTTATATAGGAAACATTTTTTCTGATTGGCTTATTGAACTGACCTGGATTGGAATGTTTATAATGTGAAGTGCCTTGAGACCACTCTTGTCGTGATTTGGCGCTATATAAATAAAATTGAATTGAATCTTCACGGGGGACCTTCATGTCAAGGCCAGTTTTATTATTTATTTATTTTATTCGGTTGAATATTATTATGTTTGCCAGTTTCTACTTATTTCAGTGAATATTGTGGGTTTTTTACTTAAACAAACAGGTACCAAAAACTTTATCGTATGTAATGCTCTCCAGTCGGTCCCTACAACTCATCCTTAAAACATTGTGTACTGTGATGGTAGACTGTGACTAAATGTACACATCCTCACTGGATGATGACGTGATCGTGTTCAGACAATGTTAACATCAATCTAAACACTAGAAAATAACAAACATGAATAAAAACATGAACATTTTCCATTTAAGTACTCACTTAAATGAGATTCCCATATGCACTTGATATGCCATGACCCTGATACAGTACATTAATATTAGATATATGCACTTCTAATGTTAACGTTTCTCATTATTGTTCACACAGTTAACCACAATGCTATGCAAATGAAAAAAAGTGCTTTTAGCTTACAGCCTCATCCTTGTGCATGCATTTTATAAGTTTATATGTACTCAGCCATTTCTGTGAGTTCAGCCTGGAATGAATAAAGCAGCAGAGGAGGAGGAGGGGCAGGTTGGAGGAGCAGGCTGGGCTAACACGAGGCGTGGGAGATCAGTCAGGCAAAAGCAACTGACTGGTCTGGATGTGAAGCATGAACTTAATAGCAGGTACCTCAGCAGGTGGCGGATCCCTACATCTTTAAACCCCCTTTCCCCCCACCTCATATTCCCTCATCCACCACCTGGCTACTGCAGACATGCAGTTACGTATGTACCTGAAGAGTGCTGTGAGAGTTGATGCTGCGCCTGCGGCCCTCCTCCAGCTGCATCTCAGAGTAAAGATCTTCCTCATCCTCTTCCATTATATCGGACAGATCAGACCCACGGCTGCTCTCTGTGTGGTAGTCCTCGCTGTGACTGTAGTGATGATGATATTGCTAACAAACAGGAAAGGGCACCGGGTAAGTAGGAATCTAAAAGTCTGTGAGGATCCATACTTGGATCAAACACTAAAAGTGATTATAAACAGAAAACCAGTCAAAGAATACGCTTTGATGAGTCTTCTGGAAACCAGAGATAGGCAGGCCCCGGTGGGTGTAGTGCAGCTTTGATATCAGAGAGGTACCTGTCTGCCCAACTCAGAGCCTCTGAGAAATTCATCCACTGAGGCTCCTCTTCGTCTTGCATGAGGAGAGCCGTAGCCATCCTCTTCTTCATCAGAGTTGATTGGATGCAAGGCATTACCTCGCTCACTAAATATGTTCCTTTTGTCAATCTGCAAAAAAAATAAAAAAGTTAGACATTCAGAATGGAACCAGGAAGAATGGAACCAGCAGTAAAGGGAAAACTGTGTGATCTGCTTCGTTTTTCACCTCAGCTATTGTTTCATATGTGCTTGTGAATACATTTTCAACACTAAGGTTTTGTTTTAAAACCTAAACTCCTTGAAGAGTAAGCAGATGAAACTATTGTAGTAATTCTGATTCATATGAAGACTCACCCGGTTCCCCTCAGCAAACGCTCTCTGGGCAGCTTCCCGGGCCATGGCCTTGGCAATGGTGTTGGGGATGGGGACTCCCTGAGGCTGCGGCAGGATCCTCTGAGGAGAGGGCGATCGCCTTGGTGGAAAGTGTGGTGGCTCCAGGTTGGGTCCATGCATGAGAGGCAGCGGAGAGGGGGAGCGCTCCCAGGGCTGGGATGGCCGTAAACCCACCTCATGCTCTTTGGTTTCTGGCTCTCTGGCACTTAGCAATGGTTTTGTTTTGGGCATGGAATGGCGCTGAAAATGAGGCTGAGGATGAGGAGGAGGTGGGTGGTGGATGGGTTGTGCACTGGGTAGTGTGTGGGGCTGAGCTTGTGGAAGAGGCTGCATCTGAGGCTGAGGGTGATTTGGGGGATATGTTGACGGGTAAGGAGGATGGGTTTGAGAATGAACTGGGTGGGATTGTGGCACTGGGTGGGGCAGAGGATGAGGAGGTACTGTGGTTCTGTGGGAGAGGTGTGGGGAGCCCAGGAGATTGTGCGGTATGACAGCCACAGGAGAGTCCTGGGACTCTCCTTGGGTTGATAACGTCCTTACAATGACTTCCCTTGCCTCCAGACCTTGAATCCTGTTTAAATCCACGGTCACATAGTCGGCTGTGGGGTACAAGACCTCAGCTATCTGCATTTACAAAGGAACCAAAAGGTTTTTACCAAAACGTGATTCAGAAATTACAGCATTCATAATTCTATTTCACTACCAGGACTTAAGCAAAGATGGCCTCACAGAGTAGAAAAAGCTGTTTAGTTACATCTTCGAAAACCACACAGGCTAAACTTGTTTGTAGTTGTGAATTCCCAGCACTGAACGCCTGATCTGCCTTACTTCTGAAGCTGGCAGTACTTTTGTATCTGTCAGTAAAAATCCCATCAGGGCATATTCCAAATGAACTGATCTAGGAGGAAACTCTGCTGGAGGACCTCCTGCTGATTTTGCACCAATTATAGTTACCTTTCAGACCAGATCAATCGAGTTTGCATCAAAGTCCCAGTGATGAATGAATCACAGATATTGTCACCAAAGAGAACAAGGTTTGAAATTGGTTGAAACAACGTGGGACATCTTTTAAAGGGGGACCATATTGGGACCGCTGATAAACCTGGAGTGGAATTACAAACTTAAAAGCTGTAACAGATTTCCAGGAGTTTTATTAATGCAGAGGCTTTTAGTCATAGCACGGTAGCTGCAGCATCCTTCTGATTAAGGATTACTTTGGTTTATAATTTTACAAAACACAACATGTGTATAGACATGTATGTTGTAGCTTAACTTATTTTATCTTAAATTAATTTTCATGAAAATAATATTCAGTATAGGAGTTGTCTAGTTGAGAATGGGACAGCTGATTTATTGGGATGGCCACTGGTCTCCACCAGGGGGAGTCACATGCAAAACACAGCAAAGCATTAGCTGTAAAAAATGATATGAATGCCTGTCCCACGTCATTTTATGGATTAATGTCCTCCTCCCTAGAGCCTGATATCAGACGTCTATCTTTTCTCCAGGAGATGGCAACAGAGATCTACTTACAGCAGAACCCTCAGGAAGAGGAGCCAGTCTCAACCAGAAAGAGCTGCACTGTAAGTTTATGAATGAGATAAAAATGGTTACCTTCTGTCCCTTTGTGCAAACAGCATAGCCTATTACACTGGCCCCATTAGAAGTTCCTGAAGGTGTCAGGGGGGGTGGCTTCCATCTGACCTGTAGGACCCCTGGAGTCTGACCACATTGGACCTGCACCTCCTGAGGAGGAAGAGGGGGCCCTAAGGAGGATGACATGAGAAGTGAAAGACAATATTTATATTATAATATATTTCTAGGTTAATTGGTCCAAAATGAACCTTATTGTTTCATTATTGTAGTTTTTACAGCTGTTGTTACTCTGGCAGCAAATGTCTCACACACAAAGCTCTGTAGCACCACAGAAATATAGTCAAACACAAAACAGCCTTGTTCCAATAAAATACTTCACAGGATGAGCTTCTCAGATTTATCACACTGGCATTTATTTTCCCATCAGGAGCAGGTGTTAGGTTGGTTGAAAAATCCAAGTTTGCCAACATTCAGCCATCACTGTTTGTAAAGCCATACTGTGTTGCCAGAGTCTTGCTGACAATTTGCTATGAAGAAAACCCAGTTTGCAATTTATACAATCTGTCAGCGCTGCCCACATATTCAACAACGTGCTGAATCTCACCTGGAGTCGCATAGTGAGCAACGGCAGTCAGCACTATCTCAGACGCCCGCGTGCAGCATTGTGCAGCTGTGAGAGCGTCCCAGGATCCACGTCAATGGCATTTTTAATCAGTTTTTTTTACACTTCCTGTCAGCAGACAGACTCGGGACGATGGCGGCTGCAGTGGCATTTTCTCTTGTCATTTTCAAACCGGGCCTATCATAAACAAGACGCTCTGCTGCAAAATAAAACGAGCGTTCAAATGAATGTTTCACAGTAGCCACAGCTGTCATTAATTCTGGAAACAAATGGCAGACGCTGATTTCCAGGCAGTGAATTGTTGGGCTCGGCGTGACCAGTACAGACAAAAATGTTGTATCGCCGAGGACTAATGAAGCGCCTAGTTTGAAGAGCACACGCTGCGTGTAAAAGCCTAATATAGAGCTTCCAGACACTGGCGTCTTTATTGACAACATTGTCTGCCATCTATAATGACACTGTCGCAGGTGCCTCTAATTAACATGCCCAATAGATAGATCCCTTAATGAACTCTCAGCATGTGGTCACATCAGCTGCCAAAAAAAAAATCTACTCCAGACTATAAATGTCCTTTTTTCTTCTGCTCTTATAAGTTTTTAACACATGGCCTTATAATTTCTCTCATGTTAGCCCTAAATGTTCCCTAACAGCAGTGTTGTATTTACACATTTACTCTGCATTTATAACACACATAGGCAACAAGCCTGCTGGCAACAACAGAGCAACAATCAGCCTCGTGGGAAAAGAAGTCTTAGAGATCTAAGCCGACTATTTACTCTGATTTGGCCGTGGGACATTCATGTTTCCAGTTCAATGAGTCTGTTTCCTGAATGCTTCCTGGATGCTTTTCTATTTATTTTCCTAAAAATGCATCACTATCACAGCCATCAATTCTGGCTCTAGAATAAAGAGGATAAAAGGCAATAATATTTGGCAACTTGGATTTGAGGTAGGTTTGAAATAGTGTATTTTAAATTAAAGTAAAGCTTAAATAATCTACAGGAGGGAGCAGGAAAACAATCATTCTTTTTAACCTGGAGTGCAGTTTTTTACACAAAACTTAACTGCATGTGTGAGTGCTATTACTAAAATTGCTTCCAGCTACAAGGCTGTTGTTTTCTCTGAAAATGGTCTTTTAACCTTCGTGCACGGCACTAAAACACAGGCTGAATTAGCAGAAGCTAGTGAACAAGTGAAGCTAGAGGGGGAGTTAATGTCAGACATGAAGACTGATGTGGGTTTGGAAATGTTTCTGCAGGATGAGTAAAAAGTATTCTACGACCACAGCTCTCAAAATGTGGCAGAAATGGCACTCAGAAAGCTTTTTGTTATTAATTATTCACAAGCAAAATAAAACAATCAACTGTCATGGGCTGAAGAAAACCTGAAGACAGAGATAAACTAGAGGCAGCAGTGCAAACCAACAGTATGTTTAAAGTATGAATGCATTGCAGAAGAAACTGGTCGTTACAGATACTGACCTGCAGGCTGAGTGCAGAACTCCACAGAGATTTCTCTTTTGCCCCTTTGATCCACTGGAAGCTGCCAAGGCACCTGATGTGGCTGTGCAACAACCTTCACCTTGTAAACGGTCATTGGCTTCAAGTTGAAAAACTTGTACTTGTAGCCCCCAGCCTTGACCATGTCATACTCCGCACCATTGAGGAAGATGGTGTGACTGTAGTTGCTGTTGCTGGGCATCCAGGAGAGCTCGGCGTAGCACTGCGTGATGCAGTCCACCCGTAGGTAATAGGGTGCAACCACCACATCCTTTCCCACCAGAAGAGTGCACCGAAGTTCGTCTGATGGGCCTCGATCCGTGATGCTTTGAACTGAGATGCGGTAAGTGTTTGTGGCAAGATTGAGCTTTTCAATAAGAGACTTTGTCCTGCCCCCGTAGGGGACACTCATCCGAACCTCCTTGTCAATCGACACATTGTAGCCACTGATGGAGCCCCATCCTGGTGGGACCACAGGAGGATCCCAGCTAATAATCACACTCTTGGCCAGTTGTTTGATCAGGGTGATGCGGCGGGGGTAAGGCACAATGTCTTCACCAACCTCATCAATGTTGACATCCAAGGTTCCTGTCCCATTGCTGGAGGAGCCCAGGAGGTCCATGCCCAAACTGCTGGTGCTCAGACAGTCGAGATTCCCGTCAGACAGCAGGCTGCTTAGACCCGTTCCTGTTACCGTTCCTGTGCCAGCTAAATGTCGCTGAGGCCCCAGGCTACTGTGGTTGAGGTAACCAGGTTCTTTAGCCACTGTGTCCCTGTGTTGGACAGAGGTTGTCTCATCATCTTCTAGAAAATCCACAAAATTGGAAGGGACGAGTCCCCGCTGTCCATCCAGCAGCTCACCTGGAACGCAATGAGGATTTAGTTGATAATGATATAAAGGAGAAAAGATTAAATGCATTCACAGTAAGTCAGACCTTCGTAAAAGCCATCTTCGTCCATGGTTCCATAAATGTAGAGGTACTTCCCTGCCACCAGGGGGAGCTCTGCTTCTGGATGCTCATTTGGCCCATCATAAGGATTGTAACTGCAGGTATAAGGACAGTTGACCAACACAAATTAGCACAATGACATACCTGCAAAGAGCAAGCTTGTACTGTAATTCGGTTAAAGCTAAATGGTTGTTATAGTCTGAGATATTTATAGCAGCTGCTTTGTAAATGTGAGGTTTGGTTTTTCCCATTCTAGTTTTAATAAGCAGGAGGAAACAGAAGAGTGTGCGTAACCAGTTTTCATACCAACAAACTGTGGACCGCTGTTATTTTTGTGCAAAAATTAATTTTCTTTACCCGTGAGAACCGAGAATCTTGTTGAAAAACCACATTTTACAGATTTGATCATCTCAGTTCCTCCACGACTTTCACAGTTTTAGCTGAATGCAGTGATATTATGGTTAGCAGGTGAAAAGGTGTGTTTACCTGTATCGAGCAACACACAGACGAACTTTCCCTGTGAAACGAGGTTTGGACCTGGAAGAGCGGAGCTCTTTGTCCATCTGCAGAAGAAAAAAACACAAACAATCCTGTCTTCATTCTCCATGGATGCCCCGACACTCAGAATGCCTACAAGTTAGAATCATTTCATACTAATAATGAAATAAAGAAACAAATTCATGAGACCATTTTAAATATAAAACTAAAGTTTGAGGAATGCATTAAAACACCCTTTTTGTTTTACACATTAGGCTACCTTTAGTTGTGTTTTAACATTGAAATGGAGAAACTTGTGTTTTCATACGCCCAAAAATCTCAAACACTGATGGGAATCCTGCTGGATTTCTGCTGTATGAAGATTTTTGTTTTGCAGTTGAAATAATTACATAGAAGTCCCAGGAGAGTCCCGTCTCCTGGGACTTCTTTTGATGATATACATCTTCGTCTCCCCTCCCCCTGCCACACCTGGTGTGGAGTGTGGTGTCTTGGTCTGCCTGAGTGTTCGTGGCTCCCGGGTCAGGGGGTTTAAGATTTTTGGTGTCTGCCTGATCAATCCCAGTGGCTGCCTAGTGGGATCTGGGCTCTGCTGGGTCCCCGGCGGGGGTGGTCGCCCCTAGGTCCTGGGTCGCTGGGTCCCGGGCTCGGCCGGCTAGGGGGTGGGAGGCTGCGGGCGGGCCTGAGGGCTTGCCGCTTATATCTCCTGGGACTCTGCCGACTGCTGGTTTTGGCCCCTGGGTCAATCCTCTGCGCCTCTCGAGGTGGCAGGGGCGTTTCTGGTCGCAGTCTCCTTGGGGTCCCTGTGCTCTGGGGCAGCTCCTGGATCTCTGGGACTTGGAGCTCCCTCCATCTCCTACACATCTTTGGGGGACAGATCTGTGGCCCCTCACACTCTATTGGATGCTCCTATACAGAAACCTTACATATACAAGCACGTGTACGCACACAGGTGCTCACATGGTGTTCTCATAAGTATGGACTTGGGCATTTTCAACACGTCGGCTGTGGTTGGCACTTAATGCACTGACTTATTATCGTGTGATTGTTCAGTAAAACAATGTTGATTTTATATTTCTTTATCAAGTTGACGCAGCGATAGCTTGCTGCTGTTGTATAGTTGTGTGTCCCTTTTCTGCAGGTCTAGAAGCAGAATCTTGTTCATCATTGATAGTTTATTTTTGTGGACCCCTCGTCTCTTCCTTTCTCTTTCACCTCTGTCTCCGTGTCTGGTCGGAATTACAAAGCATTCAAAAAACAATAACAATGAAGTTTTAAGTATCAGGCGTGACATTAAAAGCTTTGATGCTCCACCTGAGAGTAAAATCTTAAGGCTCGTCACCAGCATTCAGACATTAAACAGCCAGACAGGACACGGAAAAAAAGAGAAAGAAATAATTACATAGATCATAATTTTTGCTGTCTAAACTAGAGAAGAGTGAAGCGCTGAGTGGTGCTGTAGATTCTACTGTTTACAGATACCTCACAGACGCTAATGTTTGGTTTAGTCCATGTGAATCAAAATGCTGAACTGACTGATGAAATTCATGATTCAAATCTTCTTTTTTAACTGTGTGGATTGAGTTTGGAATAAAGAAAGACACAATGAAGTCAGACGGACACTGACAGGTACCTCAGAGAGGAAAGCTCGTGCTGGGCTGCTGGCCCGACTGCGACTGAGGAACGATGGCTTGACAGAGAGGAGCTCAGGCTTGTCTCCACCGATCTGGAGCGGTCGAATAAACTCTGATATCAAAGATCTGCTGGTTGGAGCCTCACTGCCTGTGGAACAAATAAAAGTCTCTCAACAGGTTCTTGCAACACCGAATTACACCAGAATTATTAAGTTCTTCATGTATTCATTTACAAAGTACATTAATGGGAATAACTCAAAACAAAGTGACTGATTTTTAATTCACCTGAACTAATTAATTCCAGCCCTGCTACAGTTATTTAAAATGTGTTGTAATAGTAGAAAACTCATGCGTCTTAAACATTTTAATATGTAAGATATTTAAAAAAGAGAATATACATTTTTCTTCCAATTAAGGGCAGCTGGGTGTAAACTGATGATCATTTAATGCAAAAGGAGAAACCAAACTCTTAGAGCACCAGAGGCGTTTAAACAGACCCAGTTTAATTATTTATATAAGAAAAACAAGAAATAGTTGTGGATGTTTCACCTAAAGGTGTCTTTGGAGTAAACTGCCACTGACATCAGGACAGATCGAGCTGCTCGTACCTTTCTCTGTTGGTGCCGCCAATCCATTAAGCAGCTGTGATAAGGATTTGTTGGGGGAAGCAGGAGATTCGCTCACAGTCAGCGGCTCAGAGCTGAGGATGTCAAACTTCCCTGCCTGGAGCCGGAACTTCTCCAGCTCCTTTGACAGGAGGTTGAACTGCTCACTCTGACTCCGGCATTTCTCCTCCAGCTCACGGACTTTGGCCTGGTAGCGATGAGGGAGGGGAGCCAGAAAACAAGACAAGCAAACAGGTGCATGAAGAGGTGAAGGGGAAGGAAAGAACAAAGGGAAGAGGCAAAAGAAAGAGAAGTGTTGGACTCATGAAATACATCATCCAATACGGAGACATTTTTCCATCCGACAAGTGACAAACCACATGCACCACTACAGGACTATGCTGCTATCAAACCAGAAAATGAAAATAAAGAGTTAGAATAATGACATTCTACATTTTTCTTATTAAAGGCCACTAAAAATCAAAACCAACTGTTTGACTCATTAGCTTTATCACACAAAACTAATCTTAAAAAGCAAAACCAAAATAAATCCTATTTCTGCAGAATTCTGACGTTTTTGTTTACAGTTTACCAGAAGTTGATCTGTGACAGCAGCAAAAAAATGAACCCAAACAAACGAGTCCTTAAATATCGTTGGTTTTGATCTTTTCGTTGGATGGAGACAATAAGAAAAATGTTATAGAATGTTTCTGAGCCAGAAAGTCTGATGCATGAAGGCGCCCCTACAAATGGAACATAACAGTTTGTGGCTGGAAGTTCCAGAACAAATGATGAAATCCATCCACAATGATGCGCCAGCTGTCTAAACTGATAGTCCTCTGGAAGGTGCAGAAGCTGCAGTAGAAATTCACCATTCAGCCCGACACATAAACACAGCTTGGGCCTTCTCAACACCGAGCCCACTTCATGCACGCAGAGTGTTACTGGATTAGCATGCTGCTAGCAGACTGACAACCATGGCACGTCTGCATTTTGAGATAGAGTTAGTAAATTAAGAAATGTCAGATTTTAATGGCATCCCAGCGTGCACAGCTGTACACACACATGCTGGAGGATGTTCATGCAAGGCTACAAAACAAGACATCACATTTATCACTGACCACGTGAAAATATGTGTTTTATTTTTGGGGCAGCACTTAGCTAAAACACTTCTAACTGTACATTTTGGGCAATCTGGTAAAAACCTCTTATTTACCTTTCAATTCTCTAAGTTAAATTTTAAGTCAACAGATATTTTGGCGTGGAACACTCATTTAATCAATACATTTGCAGTGATCTCTAGGAATGAACGCTTGTGCTTGTTTCAGGGATTACCAGAACGCCACATCAGAGGAGAGCTGAACATGACAGGATTTTGAGTCTTTTTTCCTGATATATGGACATCTTGCATCTGATTGTCTAACAGCTACACGACTCTACCTCTGACTCTGTTTGCTCTGCAACGTAGATGTTCTATCTCCACACATAACACAAAGCTGGAGGTGTTCTGCTGTGTGGTGGAGTTGCTAATGCTAAAGGTTTGCGTCTACTACCTGAGACGTCCTTTGCTATTGCTAAACCAACAACAGCCTTCCCATCGTGAGCCAAGATGGGTGAGTCCACGGTTAAGTGACAACGTGACGTACTTCTGTCAGGCTTTTGTAATCCTTGAGTTCCACCGTCTATTTTCTATAAGAAATATATACAGGAAAATGATGTAGGAGACTATTCTCATGTTCAGCCTGCATGAAAATCTCTGATTATAATCAGAAACAGCCATTAAAAAATGTTTTTTCAGTGTTCCACTCCTTTAAAGCTGCTTGAGTCATTTTTATATGGTGTGTGTAAAACAATAGGCATTAATCAGCCACTAGGATTGTGAAAAATGGGCGTCTGCATATAAATCAGTTATTTTCAGCATTTTTAATTTATGCCAAAAAAGGATAGGAACAAATGGCTTGTTTTGGAAAGTAAAAAAGTGTGTCTTCATTAGCCCTTGAGTTACAGCTGTTACATGAAAATGTGTCGAGTTATTTGTATCAAACAATTAATCTAAAACTAACCATTTATATAGAAGAAATAAGCAAAACCCTGATACTCAGATTAAAGATGAAAACAAATCTGCCTTCCTGGAAGGAAAATGTAAAGAACGTGATTTTGTCACACAGTACTGCCTTTACTTTGACTGGTTACTCTACTAGGCACACTTTACTTAATGAAGTTACATTTTAAGAATTGCCGGGGCTGTATAAAAGGCCTTTAGATAAATGATTATGGTAATGAAAGAAGAAGTTCCCGTCCTCCTGAATCAGTTTGAGCTGTTAAACCTGTTTGATGAGGAACAAAAGCCCAAACACTTTGTTCTACGAAAGATTTGTCCTGAAAATCAATTTAAACCAGACCCTTCCTGGTGAACGAGTCGTGTTACTTCTAAACCAGAGCTCATGTCAAGCTCAATAAAACTCACAATGAATATTTTCCTCCTGAAACACATGCTGTATCACATTTATCCTGGTGTTTATATTAAAACGGGATGCAATAAGTATAGAATAAAAATAACTCTGAAATACCTGCATGCTGTCCAAGTGGTTCTGTTTAAGCATAAACATACACTCAAACAGTAAAAAAGAGGTGTAGGGAAAGAGTTACACATGTGATCACTTCCACATTATTAATAAATAACACGTCAACAGTTATACTCAATGCATGCATTCATTCCTTTACAAGGGTGATGAGAGATTAAGTCATTAGGTTTGATTTATCCTCCTGAAGAGACTAGTTACATCAACCTGAAAGCATCCTTCAGAGGATGACACTAGATCAAGGTAAAAGGACTTTCAAATTTAAATCATTTTCAGATTTCTGTTCATGAAATTGAGCTAAAAGCAGGAAACATCTGCAGATGCACACATCCTGGTCTGAGGGGAGCTCTCATGCAGCATCCACACAGAAACACAGCTGGGGTTCAGATGCTCACCTCTAACAGATGGACAGCACCTTCATGCTCCTTTTTAGCCTCAACCTGAGCCTGGGAAACACAGGGGCAGTTCACTCAGATAGCACGTTTTCACATTTTATAGTTGAAACCCTGTTTGTTCTTAAAAATAAAACAATAATGTGTATGCAGGAGGAGGATGGGCATCATAAAGAGCAGAATTTATGAAAACAGAACTGAAATAGAAGACCCAGAGGATGTTAACCAGCATAAAAATAGATTTTATCTTTATTTCATTTGAGAAAAGTTGTTGAGCTGCAGAGCTGAGAGACATATTTGTCCCACGATTAAATGTTTTCATGATGGATTGTCACCAATCCATCTATAATGCACATCTGGATGGTGCAGAGATCTTTGCGCATTTAAAACAAGAGTCTGAAACCGCTGCTGTTATTTGTGTTATTTTCACGTGCGAGATGCCTAAAAACTGACAGGTTCTATTAGTGATTGAAAAGTAATGGAATCCGGGCTTAATTTAAATTTCTCTGTTTTATAATTTGTTTTTCTGAAAGATCACTCAGTCAACATTGAGCATTTGGGCCGGGCGGACATCCAAATACGTTTAGCAAAACACCGTTTCATTCACAGGTTTTAACATTATGTTCTCATAAGTAATTAAGGCCGCTTCTGTAGAGCATGCAAGAAGAATGAGATTTAATAGAAACGACTGCAACTGTGAAGAAACAAAGCAGAACTCATGACACTTTCTTATGGGAGCGAGAAACATCTGTTCCACATGAATATGAGAGTGGACTTTACAATTTAATAACTCTTCTTTGCAGCCCATCAGTTTAGGAGAACAGAGAGTAGCTGGTGTTTGAAGGAAGATAAGGCACTAATGAGCTTCTGTTATTGAGAGGAGAAAAGCTGAGAGCTGCTGCCTGGGAAAGGCTTACTGTGAAGTTCAGACTCTGCTGCAACAGCAACACTGGGATAGCAAACACTTTTCCCAGAGATGGCGTTGGTGATGCCTGCCACGGTCACGCTATCAGCTATCGCAGCTATCGCTGGGTCTGCGTCGACATAACAGTCAGCTACAGTGCACAAGAGAGGAAACCCGACCTACAAATGGTGCAGGCACTGGGCAGGCGTGTCAGTTTAATATGTCTACTTTATCTTTTGAACGACCAATCACATTGCTTCTAGCAAGCTCACGAACTGAAATGTTATGTTAAATGAAATGTTGTTGGATATGAATGGCTCTGAAGGATGAGGTTGAAAAGCTGTAGTGCTACTGTTCCTGTACAGCTGGGAAGCAGTAGAAGGTGTTTTAGTGCAGTCTGTGGTGGATCTAAGGGTTTTTCTGAGTTAAGCTTGGCCTTAACTGAAGTCAATCCCTCAATCGGTCCCTCTTTGCCGTGAAAAATGAGTTAATTTACAAATCGAGCATTTAGACTGCATTCATGGAAAAGGCACATAGGAATGTCCAGTGACTCTAGGATAATCTCCTAAAGTTTATCCTGTTGTGGGATCTGGATCTGAGTGGCAGCCGTCACATATGAGTCAGATATGAGTGCATCTGCTCACTCACAGATGAGAAGACTTTTGGAGAACCGTCTGATTTCAAGAAGGGCAGCAAGATAAATCTCAGAGTGGTATTCTGCTGACAATCCAGGCATTATTCTATGGAGAACAGGAGTAAAGCTATTTACTCTGAAGGATTCCCATTTATTTGAGGGGGATCTGGATGAAAGATGGTCTGGAGATGAAAAGGAGAGCACCACAAGAGCCAAAGAGAGTGGACCCACTGACAGTTTGGTAAAATGTTCAGTTGATGAGACACCACATGTGGCGATAAAAGGTCATGGCTATAACCATTTTGGTCCTACAGTGTGTGGTGTCTAGCCCCACTACAAAGACAACACACAGACAATCTCAGGTCAGACGGGAAAACTATTGAAATCAAACTGTCACACCCTGTCCTGTCTCCCCATTCTGTTCAGTCCTGTGTCCATGTTAATTGCTCCCACCTGCCTCTCGTCTCCCAATCACCCAAGGTCCCAGCTCTTCCTGTATTTAAATCCTGTTAGTCCATTTTGTCTGGTTGGCTCATTGTTTCATTGTCCTGCGTGTCCTCCATTAAATCAGTGTTTTAAATGTTCCTGTCTGCCTCCTTGCCTGTTTCTTCCCCTGCACTTGGATCCTCACCTCCGTCTTGGCTCGGCGCACCAGATGGACCCGCGCCCAGTCAGACCAGCAGTCCCGTCTCCGGTCCAATCAGCGCCTCCATCATCTGCAGGCGGAGGAACCACGCCTACAGCCCAGCTGACAGAGCTCGCCAATCTCCAGGCGGAGCTTGGCCGGATCCGTCAGCTCGTCAGCCTCCAGGAGTTCCAGCTGGACACCCATCCTCCCCAAATCACCAGGAGACGGTTTCAGTCCAGTCAGCAGCTCCCTCGTCTCAGGGCCAGAGGAGCGAGCCCGCGGTCCACCCAGCAGAGCTCGCCGGTCTCCGAGCTGAGCTGGCCCAACTCCATTAGAGCCTCAGTCTCCAGGAGCTCCAGCTGGACGGTCTGTCCTCCCTGCTCTCCCAGTTTCCGGCGCCACCAGTTTGGTCCGCTCCGGTCCCGATGGTGACCCAAGAGGCTCTTCCCCCGGGCCGGCCAGTCCAGAAGTCAGTAGCTCCTCCTGCAGCGGCTCCGCCTCCACTCCCGAAGTCGACGGTTCTGGTCCAGAAGTCGGCGGTCCAGAAGTCGACGCCCCCGGACCAGAAGTCGACGGCCCCAGACCAGAAGTCGACGCCCCCGGACCAGATGTCGATGGAGGTCGACGCCTCTTCCAGTCATGTGGTCGACGCCTCCTCGTGTTCTGAAGCCGACGCCTCCTCGTGTCCTGATGTCGATGCCTCCTCATGTTCTGAAGTTGACGCCTCCTCGTGTTCTGAAGTCGACGCCTCCTCGTGTTCTGAAGTTGACGCCTCCTCGTGTTCTGAAGTCGATGCCTCCTCGTGTTTTGAAGTTGACGCCTCCTCATGTTCTGAAGTTGACGCCTCCCCGTGTTCTGAAGTCGACACCTCCCTCGTGTCCATAGGTCAACGCTCCCTCTTGTCCAGAGGTCGACGCTCCCTCCAGTCCAGAGGTCGACGCTCCCTCCAGTCCAGAGGCCGACGCTCCCTCCAGTCCAGAGGTCGACGCTCCCTCCAGTCCAGAGGTCGACGCTCCCTCCAGTCCAGAGGTCGACGTCCCCTCCAGTCCAGAGATCGACGTCCCCTCCAGTCCAACAACGCCGTCCCCAGTCCTGTGGTCGACGCCGTCTCCAGTCCCATGGTCGACGCCGTCTCCAGTCCCGTGGTCGACTCTGTCTCCAGTCCCATGGTTGACGCCGTCTCCAGTCCCGTGGTCGCCGCCGCCGTCTCCTCCAGCCCAGAGGTCATCACCGCCGCCTCCAGCCCAGAGGTCGTCGCAGCCGCCTCCAGCCCAGAGGTCGTCGCCGCCGCCTCCAGCCCAGAGGTCATCGCCGCCGTCTCCAGCCCAGAGGTCGACGCTCCCTCCAGTCCAGAGGTCGACGCTCCCTCCAGTCCAGAGGTCGACGTCCCCTCCAGTCCAGAGATCGATGTCCCCTCCAGTCCAACAACGCCGTCCCCAGTCCCGTAGTTGATGCCGTCTCCAGTCCCGTGGTCGATGCCTTCTCCAGTCCCGTGGTCGACGCCGTCTCAGTCCCATGGTCGACGCCGTCTCCAGTCCAGTGGTCGACGCCGTCTCCAGTCCCGTGGTCGACACCGTCTCCAGTCCCGTGGTTGACGGCGTCTCCAGCCCCGAGGTCAACGCCGTCTCCTCCAGCCCAGAGGTCGTCACCGCCGCCTCCAGCCCAGAGGCCGTCGCAGCCGCCTCCAGCCCAGAGGTCGTCGCCGCCGCCTCCAGCCCAGAGGTCGACGCCGTCTCCTCCAGCCCCGAGGTCGTCGTCACCCCCTCCAGTCCAGAGGTTGTCGCCGCCCCCTCCAGTCCAGAGGTCGTCGCCGCCGCCTCCAGTCCAGAGGTCGTCGCCGCCGCCTCCAGTCCAAAAGTCAAGGACATCTCCTCCAGCGTCTCTGCCTCCGGTCGCCGCCGGTCCTGCCATCGCCAGACGCAGGCCCCCAAGAGCCCGTTGTCGCCTCCTCCTCTGCCACAGACGTAGGCCCCCAAGAGACTGTCATCGCCTCCTCCTCTGCCAGACGCAGGCCCCCAAGAGCCCATCGTCGTCGCCTCCTCTGCCCCAGGCGCAGGCCCCCAAGAGCCCGTCGTCACCTCCTCTGCCCCAGGCGCAGGCCCCCGAACTCTACTGGTCCCTGCCTCCTCTCCGTCGGTCCCTCTCGGCCCTCCCTCCGGGTCCACCTCCTCCCGCCCTGCTCTATGTTCCTGTGGGCGTCTGGAATGCACCCTTTGAGGGTGGGGGTACTGTCACACCCTGTCCTGTCTCCCCATTCTGTTCAGTCCTGTGTCCATGTTAATTGCTCCCACCTGCCTCTCGTCTCCCAATCACCCAAGATCCCAGCTCCTATTTGAACCCTGTTAGTCCATTTTGTCTGGTTGGCTCATTGTTTCATTGTCCTGCGTGTCCTCCATTAAATCAGTGTTTTAAATGTTCCTGTCTGCCTCCCTGCCTGTTTCTTCCCCTAGACCTGGATCCTCACCTCCGTCTCACTCACCGGCACATTGTGACACAAACATAGGGGAGGAGGAGGATTTTGATTCCCCTCGCTCCGTGAAGCGTGCTTCCATCACCCTACTTTCTGATTGGATACATGTGACATTCAAGAGGCTGCACTCTAAACTATCCTTGAGAAATATTTCAAACTCTGTCGTATTGAACAAATACAATCCGACATCAACAATATTCTGAATTGGAGTTTAGAGATCTTTAGAGTATTACGCTAATCTGGGGAGTCCTTGAGATTGTTGGAAGGGAAGAATTGAGTCACAAATCAGCATAAAAATCTTGGCTTTGAAACTCAAATGTGAATGAACCCAAACATCCTCCCAGCGGAACTCCTCCAAGCAACCATTAACAGTTTGGTGATGAACAATGTCTCAGTGTTTCAATGGAAATAAAATGCAAATAAAATAAAAAATATACATCAAAACTGTCACCAAGCAAAAAGCTAAACAAAATGCTACAAAGTGTGATAAATTCCAAACTTCAAGGGTCAGAATTTGGACTAAAGGTTGACTGACAGCATGCCAGGCTGATCTGTGGAGGTCTTAAGCTATAATTGACAATTAAAGTCTTTCTTCAGTAAATCGTAGAAACACCCGACAAAAAGACCTAAAAACATTGAACTATGAGAAAACCTGAATCGTTCTCTAAACTTTTCCCACAGCTGGAGGTATTGTACTGCCGTGCACCAAAGTGCTCTTTGAACCATGGCACGTGTCAAAACCGGAGCGAACAAGAAACCTCTGCGCTGCGGTGCTGTGAGGGTTATGGCAGACCCCTCTTACCTTCTGAAGAAGGTCAATCTCCTGCTGCTTTGCATTGAGTACAGCCAAGGCCTGCTCATGCTCCAACTCTAGCTGCTGCCTTCGCTCCGCAGCCTCGCGCATATGCTGTCCACAAAAAGGTGTAGGGGTGGAGAGCCGGAGGGAGAAGATATCAAGGGGAAAGGGTGAGGGACGCAGAGAAGGCTGCTGTTAGTGGAACATGAATCCAACAAAACTCGACCAACACAAAATGCATCTCGAGTCTTCATGTTCAGACAACACACCCACAAGCCACATTTTGGACAGCCCTTTTTTGAAGAGAAGGGCTGTGATGAGGCTACAATGATTACAGAATGATTGATAAGGAGCCTTTTACTACAGACATTGGAGTTTAGTTCAGGCGTTGACTTTGTCAACTTCATTATGTTTATGGTGTGAGGTCTGTATGTCTGTGATCTAAATAATCAGTATTGAGGTACACATCCTCTACTGGAACATCCCCAGTTTAAACCTCTAAAACTAGAGAAATATTTGCTTCAAAGGGCATACAGAATGATTCCACATAAATCTTAGCAAACAGATGAGGACTAGAGATGCTTCCCCAAACAAGCAAGACCAAAACAATCTTCAGTTGTGAGGTTTGCTGCCCCCTTTAGGCAACACAAAGCCTGTTGGTAGTCTGGGATCTACGAAAGGATCTTGTCTTTACTTATGAGGTTTTATGCCACATTAAAAGGGGGAGCAAACTCTGCAGCGTGCCCACTGGTCTGTGATCATCCACAACAACCAAAGCTTTACAACACAAGGGACTGAATGCTAGGCTCTCCAGTACACAGTGCCTCTGTGCTGTCCAGTCACACCACTGCTCCCAATAGCTGTGAATACCTCAGACACATTTGTGGAAGAAGCAAATGACAGTTTCATGCTGCTAAAACTGAATCCCAGGACAGGTAATGTCATCACACTTGACATTATCCTCGTGAAGGGTGACCCATTCTCCCTAGTTCCTCTTCCTCCCCCTCCCGTCATCATCAAGCCAAACTCTTCATCCTGCCTCATGCATAAAGCACATTCCGCGGTGCTGTGGTCAGAGAACCACGTGAACTTTTAGATGTCTGGTTAGCAGCCCACAGAAAAAAGGGAGGTATGAGCACAGCCACTGGGTGGACAGGAAACATTCAGATGGGGACTAACTGAGTCTGCTCCCCAACAGATGGACGTTGCAGTGATACCTTATCAATCTAGGCATGGGGAGAGGGGACATGGGGGAGGACATGGGGCAACAGGTCCAGTGAGGTTGGACAATATAAGTGTGTGAAATAGGAAAGGAAAAAGGGCAGACTGATCCAAGTGTGTTTCACAGCTCCTGGTCAGACCTCCCAGCAGGACACTGGAAGGCAACAGACATGTCGAGGACATTAGACAGAGCAACAGAGCCCGATAGAAGCAGTAGAGCACAAGTGGGGAGAGTCACCTGAATCAGAAACCCAGAACAAAAGGGTGAAAACTAGAAAAGTGAGTGTTTAGGTGGTGTTTTCTTACCCTGAGCACCTGCTCTAGGTTCTCCAGTTTGCCTTGGAGCTGGTTCCTCTCCCAAAGGGCTAAATCTCTCTCCTGCGTCACAACACCAAGTGTCTCTTTGAGCTGGGCATACTCTGACTTCACCTGGACGGACGAGACGGACGGAGAGGAAGTTAGAAAGTCCAATTTTAAAAGTTTCCTTTTTTCTCCAGGTGACGCTTTGAAGTCCTGAACTGCTCATCTTCTCCTGCTGCCTGAAATTATAAAATTAAAGCTTCAGCCTACAACTGTGACAAGATAAGTGCTGGAGCACGGTGCACATTCATGGAGCTCCTTCTTCTATAGGACACGCTTTTTGTTTTGGAAATAACTGACTGCAAGATTCCTTCTTAAGTTGTTACACACACACACACACACACACACACACACACACACGCACACGCATGCACGCACGCGCGCGCACACACACACACACACTCACACTCACACACACACACACACACACACACACACGCACACACGCAAGAACACACACACACACACACACACACGCACGCACGCAAGCACGCACACACACACACACACTCGCACGCACGCACGCAAGCACACACACACACACACACACACACACACACACACACACACACACACACACACACACACACACACAAACATACACACTTTAAAAAGACCCCAGGGAGATTACTTGTAATAAACAAAGATTAATGAATGTTTCTCAGCAGCAGAAACATTGTGCAGCTAAAAGCTTCCAAAGTGCCCTGAAAAATCTGGAAAGCCATTATTAACAAAAGGAAGCATCTTTTATTAGTTTTTGAGTTTCTTCTGCATGGCACCCTGCATTTCTGCCACCTGATGATCCATTAATAATGATCTGCTTTATGCGTTTGTCTCTGGGGTAAAAAAATAAAAATAAATAAATTAACTGTGGACAAATAGAAACTTCATCTGATTTCAAAAACCCTCCAGTTGGGCAGGAATATGTCCACATAGCAAAAGGACGCATTTGTTTCATTCTAATTATGACTTTAAAACCTTTTGGCTTTGTTGCAAATCTAAATCATCATAATAATTAATAGAGATGCTTTTCAATCAATATTAAATCTAATAAATAATAATAACTGTTTCAGACAATTATGCATAATTACTAATAACTGATTTAGCTTGTTCTTATTCTCAACAGTCCCCTCTAAAATCTAATAACTGTCTGCCTGAGCAGCAGCAGCAGCAGTAGCAGCTCCCAGATTTCTTCTGCTGATTTTGAGTCTTGTACAAAACATCTGACTGCGGGTGGTAATTGTTAGAGAACCTGCAGCAAGGCTGCTTAATGAAGAAACATTTACTCATCATTATAAAGTAAAATAATTATTATAAACATTAACGTGAATCAGTTATTCAAAACCACCAGCTGATGGAGGTGGCTTCACTTTCAGACCTTTCTGTTCTCATAACAGTTTTAGTCTCTAACCCTTTCAGAGAAGGCACCACTTTTAAAGGCTCCCAATCGCCGGTGTGTTTATTTGTTCCTGCAGACTTTAATGTGCTAAAGCCCCTTCCTCAGAGCAGCCATGAGTAACTAATGACTCCTGAAGGAGAGCCATTCTACAAACACCAGCAAATCAACACACAGCCCAGCAGGTCCACGCTGTAAAGGCTGTCCACACACGTGGAAGCAAAAACGCTCAACCCCAGTGGAGACGGCACAGGAGGAGTAGGTGGATAGTCTTAATAAGTGGGAGGAGCTACCCTCTTCACAAAGCCAAGGTGCAGCATCAACTATTAGAGAGGCTGAGGAGAAGATAACTGAGATAACACACCTTAAGTCCAGTTGAGATCACAAATGAAAATTATGTCTCATTCATTATTGTTCTGATGAGGTAAACAGTTTGTCGTTTAATTATGAATTCAGTTAATATTTACAATAATGGTGAGTCAGTCCAGAAAGAAGCAACAAAGGTTTTTCACTTGAGAATAACAGAAGAATCAAAAATACCCATAATGCCTTTGGTAATGGACCATGCTAAAAGTTTAATGTTCATAAACATTTGGAAATTCTTTCATTACATTTACACCTGAGCTGCATACATCCTACAGGTAAGGCAACATGGCTAGGTCAAGGTCAACTTTATTTATTTAAGCTAAAAGCTTTTTTTCATATTTTCAATTTTCAATTTTGTTATGAAAATCATATTTTCACTTTTGGGAATTTAATTCAAAAAAATAATTTCACTTCTTAACATTTTTTATTTTCATCATCATCGTCGTCTTCCTCCGCTTATCCGGGTCCGGGTCACGGGAGCAGCATCCCAACTAGGGAGCTCCAGACCGTCCTCTCCCCGGCCTCCTCCACCAGCTCCTCTGGCAGGACCCCAAGGTGTTCCCAGACCAGATTGGAGATGTAATCTCTCCAACATGTCCTGGGTTGACCCGGGGGCCTCTTGCCGGCAGGACATGCCCGAAACACCTCCCCAGGGAGGCGTCCAGGAGGCATCCTGACCAGATGCCCAAACCACCTCAACTGACTCCTTTCGATCCGGAGGAGCAGCGGTTCTACTCCGAGTCCCTCCCGAATGTCCGAGCTCCTCACCCTATCTCTAAGGCTGAGCCCGGCCACCCTATGGAGGAAACTCATTTCAGCCGCTGTATCCGCGATCTTGTTCTTTCGGTCATCACCCAAAGCTCATGACCATAGGTGAGGATTGGGACGTAGATCGACTGGTAAATCGAGAGCCTGGCTTTCTGGCTCAGCTCCCTCTTCACCACGACAGATCGGCTCATCGTCCGCATCACTGTACGATTACAAAGTCTATCATCGACCTGCGACCTAGGCTGCCCTGGTACCAAGTGTACCGATGGGCATCCTTATGTTTGAACATGGTGTTCATTATGGCCAAACTGTGGCTTGCACAGAAGTCCAATAACGAAACACCACTCGAGTTCAGATCAGGCGGGCCGTTCCTCCCAATCACACCCCTCCAGGTCATGCTGTCATTGCCCACGTGAGCATTGAAGTCCCCCAGCAGGACAATGGAGTCCCCTGATGGAGCACTATCTAGCACTCGTCCCAGGGACTCCAAAAAGGGTGGGTACTCTTAACTGATATTTGGCCCATAAGCACAAACAACAGTCAGGACCCATTACCCGACCCGGAGGCACAGGGAAGCTACCCTCTCGTCCCCCGGGGTAAACCCCAACACACGGATAGAGAGTCTTGGGGCTAACAAAAAGCCAACCCCAGCCCTCCGCCTCTCACCCGGAGCAACTCCAGCAAAGGAGAGTGTCCAACCCCTCTCAAGGACTTGGGTTCCAGAGCCAATGCTATGTGTCGAGATGAGTCAGACTATCTAGCCGGTGTCGGTACAAGATCTGCTCGGGTGCAAGATCGGCTCGGGTCCGTCGACTGCCGATGACGTCTAAGTAGTTGATTGGCTGAACATGAACCTTACGGAATTACGTAATCACGTAACGTTGTTATCACGTGACGTTGGTCCAGGCAAATTTTTTCTATTGGAAAGATGGACAACTTTTACAAAGAAATCCATCATTACCTCTTTGAAAATACACTTTTAGCATAGAGCTGCAAGTATAATAGGGCTGAACGATTAACTGCATGTGCAATTAAATTGCGATGTGACAAAAGAAGACTTTCTAATGGCAAAGGCTGCAATTTGGCAGCGAGTGGTTAGCGCAACGCTAATATACATGGAAAAACCCATAGGAATGCTAATGCTAATATCGCCGATTACATTATTACAAATTATGAATTAGAAACGTGCCAAATGATTACATTTGGAGTCTAATAGAAAGTAAAACTACCATCAATCAAATAAGTACAGACAGGTATTTTAGTAAAGCCAGAAAACTTTTAACTCCAGAGCTTTGGCTAGCAGCTATGAGCGTAACTGAACTACGCATGGACAAGACGTCAAAAACTCAACACAAATACTTCAATAAACGGGACACACTTCTTTCCTGCAAATACAATTCCACAGGTGTTGCTAATACCTATGATCCTTCAAGGGATGTGCTCAAAGAGGAGTTCAACATGAATCAAATATAGTGTTCTATTTTACAAATACTATTATAAACACAAACTTACGTCTTAAGAAACATTATTTTAATAACGAAACTGCTAAATTCTTTCCAACAGTATAGATGTGTAGTGTATTTTGTCCGAGTGGGTTTGCCGTACTTTGACGTCATCGGCAGTCGAAGGACCCCGAGCCGATCTTGCACCCGAGCAGATACTGTACCGACACCGGTACCGCTCAACCTCTGCCACAAGCTCCTGCTCCTTCCCCACCAGCGAGGTGACGTTCCATGTCTCAATAACCATTTTCCTTGTCCGGGCATCGGACCGCCAAGGCTCCTGCCTCGGTCTGCCACCTGATCCACACTGCACCAGACCCTTCATGTTCCTCCTGCAGGTGGTGGGTCCACAGTTGGATGAGCCCATGTATCCGGTTCAGGCTGTGCCCGGCCGGGCCCCGTGGGCGAAAGCCCGGCCACCAGGCGCTCGCTCACGGGCCCCAACCCCAGGCCTGGCTCCAGGGTGGGACCCCGGTTACCCTCCAGGCCGGGTACTCCGACTCTTTGATTGTAAATCAATGAAAGATCCTCTGAACCGTTCTTTGTCTCACCCTTCACCTAAGACCGATTTGTCATGGGAGACCCTACCAGGGGCATAAAGTGCCCCAGACAACATAGCTCCTAGGATCATTAGGGCACTCAAACTCCTCCACCACGATAAGGTGACGGTTCAAGGAGGAGTTGTTTATTTATTTATTTTTCAACATATATTTAGATTTTTAATACCTTATATTCCCCTGTTAATGTGTCACCATTCTTAAAACTCCTTTTTATTGTTATTAAACTAGTGTTTGTGTTTTCCTTTCTAAACCAAACACACGTCCATACTAAAACCCATCAGTCTGTAGCTCCGTGCTGCTGCCTGATTCTTTCACACACCGATATAAAATCACTCCACTCAGACACCCGGAGCCCTCCTTTAACATATTTTGACTCCCTGTTCCAGAGCAGAAGGCTCTCTATGTGGGTGAAGGCTTTTTTTATTAGAACTGAAAGCTGGTTTCATTGCCTGACGTGTCTAAGTTACAGTGTGACCTAGAAACCACATTTTCATCAAAGTGAAGACGAGGAGGCCGTGATCTGTGAAGAAGAAATCCTGAGAGCTGACTGACAAGTCAACAGCTCTGTGAAGCTCTACTTAAGCACCTCCAAAGTCCTTCCACCTCTTACCTTTTCATATTCGGATGCTTTGTGGCTGTTGTTGAACCACTGGAGATTCAAGTGCTTGTTCTCCTGAAGGAAACCTTGAAGCTCATTCTCCTAGGCAGACAGAGTCAGAGAAAAAAAACTGTGTTTAGAGCCTAAAAACTCACCATGATTAGACACGAGCGCTGCACTCAAACCCAGCGTGTTGTCAGCAATAGCCCATGTATTATTCATCTGAGGAGACGGCTGGAGGTTCTCCTGTGTGCTCTGGAAAACATCACTAAAGGAAGCTAACACTGCAGCCTCCACAGTGGAAGAATAATACGGTTAAAGCCGCATCTTCAACAGAGACGTAACATCCACTCCTCGCAGCTGTGTGTGTGGAGATAAATCATTTGAATTTAGAGGCCACACACATGCAAACACTCATTATATTCATGTGTGTCGCCTGCAAAGAGAAATAAAATTAAATCCTGTGAGAACTTAACGGCAGTCACAAGGAACACTGCAGGAACTCTTTCTGCTGCGGAGTTCTGAGGGATCCAGCAGCATGGAGGCCCACCGGCTCATGCATGATACATTGAAAGTAAAATGGTGCCTCTTAATGGCCCGTGATGGTGAGGCTGCTCCGGATCCCTTCATGTTTTACTTATGAAGGTTGTTTCAAAGCTGAAGATAAAAGTAAACATTAAAAATACAACTCTCAAGCAAAATACTCTGTTAACAAAAAGGAAAGATTTAAGCGTTTAGAAGAAGGTTGTAAATGTGCATTAAAACACACGGTCGGTCTGATTCACTCGCTACGTCACACAGACAGAGACAGTTTGGCCTGTCTAAAGTGTGGTTTTGTGTAAAAGTTAAACATAATTCATATTATCAGCCTCTGTTCTCACAGTTTTAACAGGACTGATGACTAATTAATGACTAATTTGTATTCTATTAGGATCATTTTATTGGGATTTTTTATTTTGATTTTTTTGCCCTGAATACAGAGTCGGCTGTGTCTCAGTTTTTTTAAATCAGTTTTTACAGCACAAAAATGCAGCCCACAGACTGGAAGTCTCCGTGTTGCTAAAATAAATCATAAATGACCCACACTTGTATAGCGCCTCTCAGAGTAAGGACTCCAAAGTGCTTTACACTACAGTGTAACCCGTTCACACACACATTAACACACTGGTGGATGAGCTACGATGTAGCCACAGCTGCCCTGGGGCGCACTGACAGAGGCGAGGCTGCCGAGCACAGGCGCCACCGGTCCCTCCGACCACCACCAACAGGCAAGGTGGGTTAAGTGTCTTGCCCAAGGACACAACAGCAGAATTCTCTGTCTGGAGCCGGGATCGAACCTGCAACCTTCCGATTACTGGACAACCTCAACCTGTTGAGCTACTGCTGACCCTGAGTTCCTGCAGAAGATCACAGTGGAGGGAGACCATTAATTTACACAGGTGTGTAAAAATCACCAGTCCTGCTTTACCGGCTGGTGTTTGTAAATGCTCTCTTCAGTGATCTCTGATCAGTATTGTTGTGTGACCACCGCTGTGAACAGGAGTTGCACACAACCAAGATCCATTAACACCAGCTAGAGAGCTCAAGCGACATTCAAAGAGCCCAGAATGTTAATGAAGACGGTGACTGTGAAGGCAGCTCCATTTGTGCTCTGACCCACATTTGCTAACAGTTCTGATGGTAAAAACATTTATCTATAATCTGTAGGAGGATGAGAGACACCAAGCTCATCTAAAAACTTCTAATGTGACTTCTTATTCTTACTGCAGTAAAAAATTTGGTCCTAAATTAGTAAAAAATAAACTAAAGCCTAGTTTATACTTCATCAGCAAGTTTGCTCACACACACACACACACACACACACACACACACACACACACACACACACACACACACACACACACACACACACACACACACACTGACGTAGACATTTTCCTTCGTTCATCCACTGGTGTCAGTATAGTGTAGCAATTCTCCACCAGGACAACAGAGGGCGCAGCAATTTTGTGGAGTATCCTGCCACCAGTGAAGTCGTGTCTCTAGAGTATTTATAATGTGTGTTTATATTGTATTTATGTATTTCAGAAGTTTTTTTAACACTGACAAATGTGTCTCTCATTCGCCTCCACCTCTTCATGCAGTCACCACCTCAAAACCCAAGTTTCCTGTAATTTCCTGACACAAATAAAAGTCTGTTGTACTCCTTCAGTCACGGTTGTATTAACGTTTATATCGCCGCACTTTTACTGCGTAACAGTCTTTAATGGTGGTGCTTTTGGTGAAGGTAAAGGAAGCAGAGTCCTGACCAATCACAGGCTTGCATATCTCTGTAGCTTTCAGCAGATAGTTAGAACATTGGGCTCTGTCTGTACTTGCGTGCCTGTTGGAAAGCCCCTGAACCACAGATAACAGTGTTGCATGTCTCTGCACCAACGCAGACACAGAAGTATAAACTAAGCTGAAGTTGCAGGTAAAAATAATTAAAAACGCTGTCATCGGGACTCCACAGCCAGTACTCGTGATCCTGCTGGAACATCCCTACGATCAATGGTTTGAACAAGCTTAAATAAAAAATGTAGCACTTTTAATGCAGTCGCAAAGCCTAGCTGGGAATTTTGAAAAACATTTTCCTAAATGATCTTGAGCAGTGAAGCTGAAAAAGGTAGAAGGGTTTATAATGTAAAATCACACCAAGAGCTGTTTGTTGCTGAACAGATCTGTTTAAAGATGGCAGCATTGCAAAGTGGTCTTGACTGACCTCGACCTAGCCATTAGCTTATCAACCCTGCTGAGTATGAATAGAATCTCTGAACCGAGGGTGTTTTCCTTTTTGGTTCAGTTGTTACTGCCGCTCACTGCAGCCTCTAACAACAGCAGTAAGTTCCTATCTGCAGTGATCGAAGCAAACAGAGGCAGGTTTTAGAGGAGAAACCCTGTCAAGGACAAGCAGAGCCAAGTAAACAACAGCCTGAAGACAAGTCACGTCAGAGATCAGCTGCTTTTCTTATTCCATAACATAAATCACACTCAGACCTGCATCAATTGCATCCTGTCACTTTTATCATTTCCAGTACCAGCTTAATATTTTCATTGGTATTCCCATTCACATCCATTGATCCTTCAATCCAGAGCCAACATGAGCCGATTGAGCCTGCAGCTGATCAATCTGAAGGACAAGAGGAGTCTGAATGGGTGCGTTTTTTAATGTGCATGCTTAATTTCTGATTGTTTTTGACTCTCCTTGTCTAAATTTCTTTTTAGGGTTTTCAACGTGACATAATGATGCAGACAAAAGAGTCTCGAACACAGACAATGAGCAGTTTTGTCCTGCATTGTCGTCGTGTTAACGCTGTAAACAGATCAGTGTATGTCATAATCCCTTGGCAAGGCTGATTTGTTGGGAGAGTGTGTGAGCCCAGTGATGAAATGAATGTCTTGTGGTCTACATGAAGCTGCCTTCAGCTGAAAACTGAAGGTGTTCCACTCAGGAGAAATCTGATGCTATGAGCAGATCATTAGTGCACATGGAGAACTCTGTGTTTAATGAAACATTTTCTTGAGGAAATTATTGTAACAAGTGACAAAGTAACAAAACTGATTTGGTACAGACAGCCATTTCAATTTCATGAATGATACACAGTCAGAAAAATAAATTACGCTGAGAGAGGTGAAGTACCCGAGTCACAGGCTGTTCCTTCTCCAAATGTGCATTTCATCCATCACTGTGTGACTCAGCGTGGTCTGACACAGCAGTGTGTTGAATTTTGACAAGCCTGACAGATGAATCAACGTTGTCATTTGACTATGCAAATATTTCACCCACTTGGTCTCTGTTCAACAGATACTTGGGAATTGGTGAGGGCACCATTTCCTGTCAGCGCAGATGACTGCAAGCCTCAAGCCCAGCCTCCATTTGCCTCATTTTCAAGCAAAATCATTTACGTCAGAGGGGTAAAGGCAGGAACAGTCATCCATCGACCTTTAAATATTCGTACAATTAAGTAGTTTCACAGCAGTAGTGAGGAATATTTTGAGAAAGAAAAGCCTAACGTGCCACTGAAAGGCATTCAGCTGTTAAGACGGCTTCATTTAGCTGTCTTCTGACTTTTTACTTTGTCCATATTCTATGTTTCATCAAACCTACGTAAAAAATATTGTGAGTTTATAACTATTAGAAGAAATGCAACATGCACATCCACAACACTGAGCTCTGCCCAGAAGAAACCCACATACACTTCTGTAACAGCAGGATACCCCCTGATGGGTTTCTTCTGTTTTCAATGTTGTCAGAATTAACTGTTTCAGAAATTCAGTATCAAACAAATATAACCTGAACAAATACAAAAAGCAGGTGAGACGGGCCTTCGTACCTTTTGGTAATAAAGCTCTACAATGGAAAGAGTGATTGTCCCTGCCCACTTGGCCAGAACAGGAATGGTAGGCAATTTACCCTGATGTGTGTGTGTGTGTGTGTGTGTGTGTGTGTGTGTGTGTGTGTGTGTGTGTGTGTCAGACCAGGTGTGGGGGACTATGTCTGTGTGGTGCAGACAAGCATGCAGCCGTATCCTGTCTGACCACGAGCTGTAGATCTATCTGACATTTATTCATAATTATTGTGGAATGTGTAACTGGTGCTCTGTGTTGGTCTCCTCTTGTCTAACAAGACAAGTAGTAGCTCAGACTAGCATTAGCAGTAGCTGCAGGCTAGCAATAGCAGTAATGTGGTCCAGCATTGTTCTGCGTTTATGCATTGCTGATGCTTTTGGGTTGGGACATGCAGATGTAACCAAGTGTGACTTGCTTATTACATAATAAACCAGCTTTCCTCAGAACGACCCGTTTCTCCATAGCCAGAGCAGATTATGCCCAAGATAAAAGGAAGTCTGCAGCAGCACGGAGTCCACCCCCATATCACATTTTTACCGCCATTGTGTAATCTTTTGTAAAAAAGAGACTTCTGCAACACATTACTGCCATGGTCTGACCATTTATAAAAGACCTAAGGCTTGCTGAAACCAGCTCAGTGCTGTGGACAATTGGCAGCATTGTTTTTCCAAAAGAAACTAGTGTCATCTATTACAGTTATTTTAAGATATAATGACAAAGCTTTTACTTATTTTAGAAATTGGTCACTCTGACTTTCACGTGCAGGCTAAATGTGAAAACAGTCTTCCAATCCCTCATGAGCTGTCGATAGAAACTAGGCGGTTAAACACTCCGATTAGAAAAGCCAGTCAGATTTACGTCTTATTTAAAATCAAAATTCACACGTAGTCTCACCCATCTTGGCTCGCGGCAGGGAAGGCTGTTGCTGTAGTGGCCAGGAGAGAGCAGAGTGAGTCTTTGCTAGCATTAGCCACTCATTAACTACTCCACCACACAGCAGAACTCCTTCAGGCTTGTGCTATTTGTGGAGATAAAACACCAACACTGCAGAGCAGGACTGCAGATGTGAATTAGCTTCAAGCTAAATGTGGTCCTTAAATAAACATAAATAAGCAAATAGAGTCAGTAGTAGAGTCGTGTTTCTGTTGTTGATGATGTGCAAATATCAGGAAAGAGGACTTGTCTGCAAGTCATCATGGCAGACGTACCAAAAAACAAGTGAACTTGGTCTTTAACAAGTGGGCCTGAAAAGCGGGAACCTACTTCACATCATTATACGTTTGAAACCAAGAAGAAGAAAATGCTGCACACTTCAGTCCCCCGTCTTTCAATCCATGTTTCAGCACTCGGGCCTTTTCTTGGACTGAGATATTGAAAAGTCCCTGAGGCTTAAAACATGGATCAAATGAAGTGGAATACATTTGGAAATGCACTTAGTAAAACTTTTCTACCACAGACAGAAAAGACAGATACCAATCATGCTCTTGACAGACGGTGTTTACAAGAAACGGCTCACATTGAAAGCTTAGCCGACCACAGAGGCATGTGTTTGGCCAGACCAGGTCTTGTTGAGTCCATCTGCTGTCAGTTTCAGTATTGATCTTTGATCAACACATACATATTCAAGTGATTCTGCCAGAGGTAATGCTCATCCCCATGGTAACAGGCTGTAGATGCAAGCGGAGGCTGATGGTCTGCCGTTAAACATCCCATCACCAGGAAAGGTGGAGGAGCCAGATGGCTTTGACGGCGTTAACTGTTATTCATACACTCACTCCATGTGCATACATACATGACAGCTGAACTAAATCACCAGGAGGCGGTAATAAGCCCAGAGTTTTAGCACTCAGATGGAAAAGTCAGTACATATTGATATTCAGTGGCAGTTCCTGTAAACTAGACGGCTGAACTTCACAAGCAAAGCAGGTGGGTAGGCACAAACAGCTGCACCTAATTCTTTCTTTTCTGTTTAAACAAAACAAAGAGAAGTCAGTTTAGACCAAACAGCTAGTGACATTACTGTCAACTTGCCATCCCCTCACAGCCTTGCTCGTTGGACTTGTCTGCGTGTTCTTCTCCAAGCTGGGAGCAGAGCGACGTGAGAGCTGTGCAGCAGCCTGTGGAGACCAGCCTGCCATTCCCGCTCACCATGTGGGGACAGTTTGTCCTTTTGGGACGCTTCCCCCTGGACTCAGCAGGCGGATAATGGGTGAGGAGAGGAACACTGCTGTGAGGAGGGAAGGTCAGGGGAGGTCAGTGAAGAAAAAGTCCTAATGGAATATTTATTTGGGTCAGAGAGCCACACACAAAAGCAGCACATCTAAAGTGCCTGGGGCAGGAGTGTATGAACTGAAATGATGTCCCATTTGAATTAGAGCTCAAACCCTCTGGCTCCTGGGTTTGATTAAAAAAACTGCATCACTTTGGTCCAGTTCGACTTTAAGCCTGTGCAGGATGTTCGACCCAAACTTCATCATTAATTACAGCAACATGAGAGCAGCAAGATCTGGTACTGCTCCACCCAGAGCTGAAAACCTTTTTGTGATCCAGCAAAGTGGATCTTCTATGTGAATGAGCTGTAAACAACACTCCATCAAAAGCAAATATTTAGTTTATGAGGGGATGCTAAGAGCAGAACAAACTAAAAAGAGACTAGGCTGAATTAAATGATTTTTCCTGACATTTAGGGCAATAATAATCACATTTGGTCAAATCCTGAAGCCTCATCTGTTTTATTGCTCCAGCAGGGTGATTCACTCCCGCTCCAAAAACTCAGGTTTTCTAAACGTTATGAAAATGTAATCAGAGGCAAAGAAAAAGAGGCAGAGGCAGACACCTTGTCTACTTTTAAGACTAGGCTTAAAACGTTTTTATTGATATGGTTAAAATCTGATGCAAGCCTAGATCTGGACAAGTGGGGGAGTAGAGGGAGGTGGAGTGTTCAGTCGGTAAAGACGGCTCTCCCTTGCCCTGACTCCAACATGCCTCCATCTAAATAGGATAGATTATCCAGAGTTATCTCTGTAGTTATGCTGCTATAGGCTTAGACTGCTGGAGGACACACTGACCACTTTCCACACTCGACTACTTTCTTCTACAATCTGCTCTTTAACTGTATTATTTCCTGCTATTTCAGCTGTTAACTTTATTTTTTCTCTAAGTGTTTTTCTCCCCAGAAGAAGCTACAATGATGTTCTGCTGAGCTGCGGTGCCCATATGGTGGGGCATATACTTGGTATATATGTTGTGTGTGTGTGTGTGTGTGTGTGTGTGTGCGTGTGCGTGTGTGTGTGTGTGTGTCTGCTCTGTCTTCTCGATCCCCAGTGAGTCGTGGAGGATGGCTGCTTGTACTGAGCCAGGATCCTCGAGAGGTTTCTTCCTGTTAAAAGGGAGTTTTCCTCTCCACTGTTGCTGCATGCTTGCTTAGTACGAGGATTGCTGCAAAGACTCTGACACTAGTGAGTAACTTGATGCAATTTGCTGGGTTCCTTATTTGAGAAACTTTTTTCTGATTGGCTTAATGAACTGACCTGTATTGGAATGTTTATTATGTGAAGTGCCTTGAGACGACTCTTGTCGTGATTTGGCGCTATATAAATAAAATTGAATTGAATTGAATTATAATTTTACTAACATGTACAATGAGTTATTCAGTTAAGCTTCCATAGTCCATTAGTCGGCTGCTTAAAAACAACAGTAAACATATGTAAATGATGCCGTCATTAATTATGGTTATGTTGCTGTTTTTAATCACTTTACCAACCATCACTTGGATAGTAACTTCCGATGACCTCAGATATGGCTAATGCCTTTGTGCACATCAGAACTCTGGTTTTACCCGTAATAAAATGGTGAAACTCCCAGATATTGAGCCAAAACCCTCTTCTTTTTTGTCCTGTTGTCTTTTGAGCAGGAGAAAGGTCACTGCAGTTGGCGGAATGACATTTCTGGGACATTGTGAAGAAAAGTCCTTCAGGACTCCACGGTTGAAAATGCACGAGTAACGTAACTGACCTGTGACCTTTACCAATGGTGCTCAAACACACACTGCTGTATACCTTTGAGCTGTACTCAGGAAACCAAAGCAACCAGAGGATTAGTATTTGTGACCACTCAACAAATAAATGAGTGTTTTTCTCATCTTTAAATGTATTTACAAGCACTCGGTTGTTTAGATTGTTAATGCATTTTATTCCGTCACCATTGTGAGAGCCGAGCTATCATCACAACTCGTCCTCTCCAGAGATGTTTGGGTGTGATGATAAGCGAGCAAGGCTCTTGGGCAGAAATCAATTTTAGCCTTGGTCCTTTCATTCAGAGGCTGGGGTATATTTTTAGGGCACTTACCAAAGTCTGACATGTTTGATTCTTTTTCTTCACCTCTGCCTCGAGTGCTTCACACTCCTTCCTTCTGGTGCTGATCTCAGTCTCCTGGGGAGAGGAGAGAAAACAGAGGGCTGCTGCTGTGGTTTGTAAGGAAAAGGAGGAGATTCCTTGATGAAAGTAGGCAGGAACAAAGAGTTTAGATGTCCACATGTGTGGGCTGGTTTTTAGAGTGTCATGCTTAATGAATAAAGTCATAAAACAGATCAGCTGAATGTTTATCAAACTGACTTCAGACAGCCAGTAAGGCTAGAATGATAATTAGCTAGTAACTGGTTAGCCAGCTGGCATCGCTAAAAATAAAAATAAAACTGCTTGGTTTATTTTTTCCTAACTTTACTCTTTTTATTCTCTATATTACCCATTTATCCCGTTTAAGATTTAATAACAAATTTTCTCACATTGAACTAATTATTGCAAATTTACTGTTTCAAAATTCTAAACTATTTATTATTTTTTATCAACTGTACTCAGACAGGTAGGTAGGAAGTTGTGCAGCTCTAGTCACATGTCCACACAATCGCCGACTGTCTTTTGTCAGCAAGCAGAGTAAATCGTGCTCACATGCATGTCTACATGGGATTTATGCCACCTAAATAATTATTTATTCATTAATCAGTAAAATCTAATCAAACCATCCAAACTGGTCTGCAGATGTTGATGGCATTCCCCACTAGCTTGTCACACCTGGTAATTGTGAGGTTTTTGCTGTTATGAGCATGCTTTAACTGAGATGGCAGCTGAACTCAGAAAAGAAGCTTAGTTTTCTTCACAATGAGCAATTAGAGCCAAAACATGACTAAAGTCTGCCACAATCCCTGCAGAGGATGACTTCCTCAGTCTGTCAATGCCTCTCACAGAGCGACCTCCCTCTGCTTGTCAGTGGAGAACCAGACAAAAACAGCAGGGATATCCCCATCTAACACCCGACAAACTTAATCCTGATCGGGACTTGTTGTGTGAGGGAAACTTAGAGCACAGGTTGTTTTCCAGCAACTCCGTATAGCCATGTACTAAAGTTTATGTAAATTAATGATGTTATATGAAATCATTGTATAGAACTTCTTGTTTAAGACACCAGCTAGAACTTTAGTGTCAATAGCTCGACTTTTCTGTCAGTTTCAGAGATACTTTTGGTTCAGACTGGGAGGGAAATGGCAGCTGGATGTTCCAAGATTAGCATATAGAATTAAACAGGATTTTATCTGTGTGTAACACACACACACACACACACACACACACACACACACACGCAGCATAGCACCACATGTCCCGGAGCAAGGCTAAAATAAGCACCACTGGAGCCACCAGAAGCCCTCAGCACAAAACACAAGCTGCATGTGGCAGAATAAACGTGCACCTCACCACCACAGCTCTCACAGCCTGATCTGAATTTGGATTTAGAATATTTAAATCAGATGGAAGACACTTTTTATTGCTGACATCATCATTCACACATGCAGATATTTAATAAGATGTTTTGTGGGAAGGTCAGAGAAGAGGATGTGCAGCGTTAGAAGGAACATCCTTTGATTTGTTCTAAAACGCATGACTTCTCAGCTCAGGTAATTGACGGTCAAGGTGATTAAAGCTTTGACCTTTTGTTTGTGTTGCAGGGTGATCAGTGATCCAGATTATCTGAACCGTGTGTGTGTGAGTGTTCATGCCTCTGTCCTTTCAAGTTCAGTCACATGAAAGTAAAATGGATGGAGGTGACACAAAGTGATGCAACTGAGAGGAACACCGGTCGGAAGGATTATGATTGTGACCCTAACCCAAGCATGCCACACAGCACCCACGTCATCGTGCTCCGCTGTACATGGAAGTCAGCTCATCCACTCCTTAATCAGCCATCGATTCATTCAATCCATGCTGAGATTTCAGAGCGCCATCACTCATCTAACCTTCACTCATCTGACCAGTAAGTCAGTTCTTTACTCTTTTTGTAATGCCTGTTCGTTCTTGTTTCCCTTCAAGAAACAAACTGTCTGCAGCTCCCATCGCTCGTACTTCTGCATTAGGAGCTCACCGACACGCCACAAACAAACTCGCTGATCTGTGATCTGTCTCAGTTCCTTCCCAGATCAGGCCTGAATATGATTTATGATATTGTTGAAGTCAAGTTAAATTAGTATCACACTGAGGTTTGTGACTGGTTGAGGAGAAAACTTTTTGAGAAAAAAAAAGCGAACAGAACAAGACAAGTTTTATGTAAAACCGAGTTACAAATGCACAAAAATATTATGCATACAAACAAAAATTTGTATCTTTTGTATGACACAATGTTGCAAAGTCGATGTGCTGTGTGTTATGCTCAAGGTTGTCAAAAAGATCACAATTTTGCAGTATTTTTCTGCAAAGTCAAAACAAGCTCAAACATAAAATGCATTAAAACTCTGCAGGAGAAAGAAGCTTGGACCTGTTCAGAGAAGAGCTCAGTAAAGTGTGCATTAACATTTTGTTTCTGAACAAACCCGTGTGAGTGAATCACAGCAAGTGAGCCTCTGCCGGCAGCCCGCTCTCCCCTGTGGGCTGATTTCTAATGTGTGCAGTTTGCAGAAGCAGCCGGTTACAGCGCTGATGAAGCTTTCACACATGCACTGGGACAGATAGACAATCATGCACTCTCTCACATACAAACACAGCACTCACATGCTTGCTGAGGCCCATTTGTTAGGAGCACATTTGCCAATGTTCAATTAAAAAGCCCCCTGATAAAAGATTCAAATGGCTGCCATTGTGAGTAATGAGTTCTTGTATAAGTGAGGAGGCGTTTACTGCACAGTAGATGAAGACAGATGAGGAAGACATTCCCTCAGGCTGTGTCTAGCATTTGTGCCTCAGTGGCACTAATGTAAATGCAAGAGGGGTGCACCCAAAACCATTTTTATCTGCCCCTTTAATAAGTTAGGGTCTATGGACTATTGATTGTAGTTTATGGGTTTTGAGATGTTTCTGCTTGTCTTTTTGTTCCATTCTGTTGATTTGGTGTTCTGTTGTTCTAGGTAGGGTTTTTATTAGGATCGTCATGTTTTGTTTTTGTTTGTTTCATTTCCATCCTCTGATCTGCTTCAGCTGGTTTTGTTTTTCTGCTTTCCACACACACCTGGTTTGAGTTGTTCATTAGCATCTGTCCTTTGTTAGTATTCTACTACTTCGGTATAAACAGCTAGGCGTTCTCAGCGTCAGTAAGGTGCAAAAGAAAAGAAACCGAGTGAGAAAAAAATCCCTGCTCCAGATCAGTACCAGAGACCATATCGAAAGTTGACGCCTCTCTTTCTTCTTCCATTATCACAAAATGAAGCCGTGACGTCCTGTTTGTAGCAGCTGCCATGCTGTAATTCTGGATCTGGAGTCTAAACCTTCAGGATGATGTGGAACTGAAAAGCCCTCCTACTCCCTTGCACACAATTGTGGTGTTTTACCATCACATAACTAATTACAGCTTTATGTTTTACAGCAGCACTGTAAGAGTTATGGCTGGTAAAAAATGATCGGAGGTGTTTTCTCTCATTAAATCATCTTCTTAACTGCTTTCCACCAATAGGGTGTTAGGGACCCCTAACTTCAGTATTTACCCTGGACAAGTCTCCAGGTCTCCAGTCTTTCATAGGGACACAGAGAAAACCAACCATTCACACACTTACACACACCAAGGAACTCGTTTGTCTCCAGTTAAACTGACTTCCATGTTTTTGGTCTGTAAGAAGAAACCAGACTCCCCAGAGTAAACCCACACATGCATGAAGAGAACATACAAACAGAAAGGCCACACCTGGGATTTGAACCTGCAACCTTTTGCAGCAAAACATGAGTTCTACTAACTGCACCACTGTACAGCTCAACAAGTGTTTCTTAGTCCTTAAAAATGTGCAGTTGGTTTACATGCAGGGTTAAAATGTCCTGCAGCCAGCCACTGGGGAACACTTATTTCAGCGTCAACTTCTTCTTCTCTTCCTGTCTAGTTTATTATAAACAATGTGTTAATTGGACAAACAGAAACAGTCAGTTGAAAATGTGTTTGTAGTCATCACTCTTTATGAACACTGAAGCCCACCAGTAGATATGCATGTAATGTAATATGTCATGAAGCTTTCTGACTGATAAACATCTGTTGGTGTCCAAACGTAGAGTTGAGGGCCAAAAGGCTAATTCGTCATACTCCAAAAATTATTTGTCAAACTCAAATAAGACCTTGTGTTTAGTAAAATTTGAACAGGATGTTAAAACGTGCTGCCTGCTGAAGAGATGAATTGTTTATTTTTATTTCAATCTGGGCAACAAAAAATCATTCAGAGGGCCTCAAATGGCCCCTGGGCTGCACTTTGGACATACATGCTCTGGATAGATATTGTTTAGATTTGTTTTAAAATCAGCTGCAAGACAGTCAGTGGATGAACTGGTCAAGTTCCTACTGGAGAAACAAACAGATTGTACAAGACACGCATACACACACACACACAATAAGAATAGCTTCAGGACTACAAACGTGGTATTTACATCTTCTTTGTATAGCAGATCTTTCTGCATGGAGCTTACATGTTCTCCCTGTGCATGTGTGGGTTCTCTCCGGGTACTCCGGCTTCCTCCCACAATCCAAAAACACGACTGTTAGGTTGATTGGTCTGTCTAAATTGTCCTTAGGTGTGAGTGTGTGTGCTTGATTGTTTGTCATGTGTGTCTCTTAGTTGCGCTGTGATGGACTGGCTCTCTGCCCAGGGTGTACCCCGCCTGCTTGCCCATTGACCACTGGAGATAGGTACCAGCCCCCCCGCAACCCTACATGGACAAGCAGGTTCAGACAATGGATGGATGGATGGACATTACTGTGAGCAACAGAAATAGAGTGAGCATCGAGTTAGCATCTGGAACAAAGTCCTGCAGGACTGCGACCAGCTGAAGCTGAACCCAGGTGGTTCAGCACCATGGACAGCTCCCCTTAGGAAGCTGATGCATGTTGTCCTGTAATTATTCTGCTGCAGCTGACTTTGCTGCGTGTTGCTGCAACGCAGCATCTCTTTAAAATGACTTTCACATTCCTTTCTGTT